CCCCAAAACCCCAAAACCCCAAAACCCCAAAACCCCAAAACCCCGTCTTGAGTTTATAAAATTGAATATAAAGTTTGAAAATGAGTGAAGATCAAAATGTAATCGCTCAACTCAAGTCCCAAATCAAGGACTTGGAACAAAGCTTAAAAATTAACAAAGAACTTATGCAAAATGTTCTAATGGGAGTCGGTTCTGATGATTCCTTGAAACAAGTTATTCAAAAATTAGAAGAAGAAAACAATCGACTCAGCCAGGCTTTACACAAGGAACATAAGGAGAAGGTATATCTCTATGAGACTACTAAAAAGTGCAAAGAACAGATGGATAAAGACCATGAGTTGCTGAAGGATAAGGAGCACAAGTTCGAGATTTACCTACAGAAGTGTAGACAAGATCTTGACGAGAGAAATAGGTACTATAATACCTTAATCCTTGACATTGCCATGCATACATATTGATTATAACTTTATACATTTCAAACAAAATTTTCTGGGCTTCATACTTTAATCTTAAAATCTAGGACGATTGATCAACAAGCAAAGGCCATTGAGAAGTTAAGACCCATTGTTGAAAGATTCGAGAAGGAAATGGAAACAAAGGAAGAAGGCAGCTCCTTCAGGGAGACCGAGACAGAACAAAAGGAGAAAACACTAGAGAATAACAGGCAAAATTCTGCCTCTAGCATGGAATCTGTTGAGGTAGAAGTAATAGTCAATGAGAATGAGAAATTAGCTAAAGATCTCAGTAAGTCCCCTTCTTACTCCTTTAGAAAAAGCAAATGACGAGATAGATAGGTTAAGGAATAACCTATGAGATGTGTCTGATATCGTTGGGGAAGATACATCTCACGGAAAAACATTTGATTATGGATCAGCTATGTATGCCACAGGTGATGCTGATGATCCTAACTTTATCAAGGATCTTAGCCAGACCTTTGATATGGGGACCAAACCTGTTGTAGTCCCTGTTCTCGATTTTAAGAGGCTCAAGCATGTCAAGTCCTTTAAAGACTGGCATGGATATTCACAGAAGTTGGAGAAGTCATTGTTGTTACTAAGAGGTAGAATTAAAAATCTTGAAGATGAAAGATCAGATTTTTCTAATAAATACATGAAAATGAAGAACCAGAATCAGAATTTATATCATCTCAATGAAAAATTAAACAACACTATCAAATAAATTAAACGAAAGGTTGAAGGAGGCCTCAAACTGGAGACAGAGATTCGAAATGACAATGCCTCCTGTGGGTCCTAACTACGTAAGTTTTACAATGATGGATATGCATAAGACCATAACAAATAAGAAGAATTTTAACAATAACTATGCAACCGAAAATGGAGATGGGCTGAATCACAGCTTTACAGCAAGCGATATTGAGCATCCATCTACAAATTTTGATAAGGAAATTCATCAGTTTTCCCAAAACTCTTCTTCAAAGGATAAGTCAAGTAGCGATAGGAAGCATGGCCAGCATAAGAAATCTCAGAGTATGACTGCTGGTGGAATCAAGCCAAGCAACACTTTCTCGACTCCTGGCATCTATGACCCTAATGAATCTCCCAACTTTATCGGCAATAAGCAATTTAACTTAGGCGATGACATCAAAATCACAAAAAGTCAGATCAAACAGAAACCCCATGACATTAATAGATACGTTCAGAGGAAGAAAAAGAGAGGGACTGGAAAGAAGAAGGTAGAAGGACTAAGCAGCAGCAAAACTGATGCTTTTCCTCCCCCTCCCAAATCGATCATAAAGAAAAGCCTCAATAAATTTAATTAGTTCATACAATTCTTAGAGCTTGTCCGGGGTTTTGGGGTTTTGGGGTTTTGGGGTTTTGGGGTTTTGGGGTTTTGGGGTTTTGGGG